GGGATAAAGCTTTTCCTCTGCAGGGGCCTTGTACAATAAGCCCCCTACGGGCAGTCGGCCGTCGTCATAAAGTAGTCCCCGCGAAGCCTTCGGGAAGAGGGGTAGTCTTGTGTGTAAGCATAGCATTTCTGGTCGAACCCGCCCAACCAAACTAAGAATAACCGAACCTGACAAACACATCTTTTTCCTTTTGGGAGGGTACTCCGAGTAATGGGTACCTTGTGGGACCTTGACTCGCCTACTCGGGTCTTGTATGGATATGGAGGGGAAAGGGTGCTCCTAGGTGTGTAGGGGTTGTTTATGTTCACGAGAATGGATTCCTCGTCAAGTTAGTTTGGGGGGTGTGGACACACTTACGCGAATTCGGGCAACGGCTACAAGGGATAAATCGAAAAGGAAACTGTACCTGACTAGGGATGGAAATAAACTTGTAAGCTACCGAGGGTAGGGACAATCATCCAGGTCTTATTGTGAAACAAAAAAACCGCCCCACCACATCAAGCGCGTTGGTTCCTCTGTCGTCACCGGAGAGCTCTTGGCGAGGTGACCTTAGGATAAGTTTCCTAAAACAAACGGGAAGGGAGGATCGACTCGTTCAGTATAATTCCGAAGAAAGGCTGTTGGCAACAGGTGGAGACATTTCTTTGGCCCCCTTCAAAAGGAAATGTGAGCAGGGTTAATTAACCTCGGCAGAGGGTTCGAGAATAGGGTAGGGTCCTGTCCTTAAGATCAGATGAGAAAAGAGTTTCAATCCTTTATGCATGCACTCCCATATAAGTGCACAAGTTCCGTCCAGGATAATTGGGAAAGATCAAACCAATTTGAACTGCTCACATCACAATAGTAATAGTGCAAATGCCGTAAGTTGGGGGCGGCCATAACATAAAAGGCTATTATTTTATCATATTACTGACATAAGATGATGTCTTATGTTAAATTTGAGATGATTTATTTAAATTGAAAATTTTATGGTCCATCCTGTAACTATATTTTGGAGGTGAATTTAAGTATTTTACTTTTAAAATAAATAACTATAAATATATATATATATATCTATAAATTAATTTTCTTTTATTAAATAACGAATATTAATTACTTTGTCAATTATTAAATATTTTTAATAACTAAAATTAAACAAAATTAATATTTTTAAAGATAAAACTAATAAATTTGTATGACTTTAACATATAATTGAGTGGTCATAACCATAGTCATTTTTCACATATAAGACAATAATTTGATATTTTGTAATTTAAACTTTGTCAAACTGCAAAACAATAACTATTAAATAAAAGGGTTTTTATTTGTTATCAAGTGTACTCTCATGATCTAATAATTAATGTTTATAATTTATAATTTAATATATTCTAAATTACAAAATGTTTTTTTAATAAAATAATTTCTTATTAAATAGATTTTAGTTTTCCATTCCCAATTGAGATTCTGTGTAGTGTAAATATTGCGAGGTTTTAACTTTTAGCATGAGATCTTTAGAGAATGTCTCAAATTGTAATAGGAATATAGAATGAATATGGTTCAGGGCTTCTTCTTCTTCTTCTTTTGTTGGAAAGGCATGTTCAAGGCTCTATTTGTATCTTTGAGCTTTAAATAGCTAAGCACTAACTTATTCGAGGATAAAAGAAGAAAAAATGGAGATTTGGGTTCATATCCTTATTTCTTATATTATCACCTATCATATTGGCATTTTGAGTTAACTGTCCATCCAGTGAGTAGTAACACACATGCACTAGGCCTTTTGCATAATTTGATTAGGCTTTTTTTGTTTGGGCTTGGACCTTGCCATCGTCCCTATCTTGTCCTCTTGTTGGACCAAGCTCTCATATTTTTCGGCCCTAAACAATAGTGCCCCTAAAATCCAATTGGGTGTGGTCGGGTTAAAGAATCCCCCCAATCCTCATTTTCCATTACTTTATGGAGGCTAGGAGGGTAGGAATTCCATTTTCCATGTTTTTGTCCCAAGGTAAATCTTGGCACTCAGCACAATTGTCCTCCTTTTAGGCAAAAAGGCAAAAATGCAAATTTCTAATAAGCTAGTTTTATTTTAAGTTTGATTCAACAAACTGCCCTTAAAACTCCTTCCATAACAACAATTATATGGCTCACATTTTTACAACACTATAACCTTCAATGGGCAATCCAATCCATCTTCAGGATTCAAGTCGCGTCTAGAGCAAAATCTTGAACATAAGATGGAGGATATAAGCAAGGACTAGGGGGGAGGCAATTCTGATAATGCCTAAACAAACCTGACCATAAAAATACCAATGCTATGTACACAATATAAGGAGCTCATGGATAGAAGCTGAAAAAGGGCAACCTGCGGAGTGTGGAAGACATGCAACTGTTTTGCATATGGTTCCAGTTGAGTGTAGCATGGGCGATTATTTTCGTTGCTGCTTTTCTTGAGCTTGGTTTGAGTTTAAGATGGCTGAGTTTGAGACACATTGGGAGATGAAGGTTGCTGTTGGTGTGGTAATGAAATTCGTTCTGAGGGACAGGGTATGGGGGCAGGGCGTGCAATGAAGGTTGGAATGTCATCACCTGGCATTAACACAGAAACTCCATTTGCATATATAGTCATCTGTACACATTAAAAGGCAAAGATTAGAAAAATATAAACTTTCAAGGAATTGAGTGGTAAAAAGTATATGTTTTCAGAATTTCTAAAAACATAAGTAAAAAGATAGTATCTGGGATTCATGAGAAAAAAATACTATATTTCCTGTAAGTAGTACCCACGAGAGATTCACTCGATAATGCTAATGCTATATTTTTTTTAATAAAATAACTTGAATCATGTAAATATGACTAAAGGCCCCCAATCCTCAAAAGCAACCCAGTTAAGCATCCCTAGACAACTTAATGACTAGCATGGCAGAGTACAATCACCAAACATCTTATCTGGATTGATAGATAACCCCTAAGTTGAAAATTCACTGGTTCTCAAAAAGCAATTAACAATAAAATTCTTTAGTTTGGATCACATGGTAGTGCTTTGATGCTGCATCCCTTTTCTGTGTCTACTTGTAAACAATGGATGGAATACAAACATTTACCCAACATACAGCTCATGTCTTTGTTCTCTTTAGGGTATTCAAAGACATGACATAAGAGATGGATGCAAATTGAATGCATGTTATGACGATTGTACATAAGAGATGCTCATATCTCATAAAAAGTAGGTGAATAATCACATGCATAATGTTACTGTTTTTGGTATTGGAATTAGGCATGACAAGTTCCTCATATCACCTTATCTCCTTTATGGTCTTTGAAGTAAAGTCAATCTTCCCACTAAGGATTAGTCAGCAAATAACGCTAACCATAAACTTCCAACCCTCAACCGAAGAAAATTAATGTGCCCCTAACCAACGAGCCACAAACTCTAATTGGGGCATCATGTCTCTTGAATTGAAAGAGAGCTAACATGGGTCATTAAGCACAATTTCACAATGGTCAAGGTCAATGGATATGGCACGTGAAATGATATGACCTATCACCAGCAGACCTTCATGGACCTTCTACAGCAGTTAAAGTGATTGAATGATTTAGACCAATCTAAATTTATTTCAAATGCTTCATAATCTGCTATAATTAAACACTGTTTTCCTACCAAAAAAAAAAAAAGGAGTAAAAGCCCTAAACATCCAAAATAAAGCAAACAAAACTCCTATTATATAATCCATGCCCGACAGAGAACTAGCCTTAAAATTGAACAATGAGGATACATTTGTGGGTAGGTGGGCCTTCTGTGTTCATGGAAAGCTATGTCACATGGTCAATCACGGATTTATTTACAGGGTACCAGTACTGCTCCAGGCAATATTTTGGGGAAAAAACCTAAAACTGAACTCTAATCGTCTATCTCATTTTCTTGACATCATTTTTATATAATCCATGCATTCCTTACACAATAATCCATGCATTCCTTACACAATAATCCAAACATCTACAATCAGTGGTTCCATTAAACTATGAACATGGAGAGACTATAGCAAGAATATAATTCTTAGATGTGTCATTGCCTCAGTAACAACTGTCATTCGAAAGGCAGCAAAGTTATTAAATTATCCAAATTCGAACAAACCCTATTCTTATACAGATGCTTTTGGTTTAAGACTAATTGAGCCTTGCTTACTCAAAAATAGTTCAACTAAAGAAACTAATTTGATTGCTAGAACAGTATGCAAATTTCAAAGTTCAAAAGGTGAAATAATGCATATGAAGAAAAAAAAAAAAAAAAAAAGCTTCGACTTGGCAGTCCAAGACAAAAAAAAGAGTCAAGTGCTATGATTGATGAGAAATTCTGTTCATGGGCAAGGAGCATTATAAGGCCTCATGTAATGAAACAGGAATAGAGAAAACAACTACAAACAGAAAGCCCAAAACTTTGATTTGAGAGAAAAATAACAGAGGCTAAGATCTAAGGAACCGGAAAATGAATCAGGAGATGAAGCTTTATGTCAGACTCACTAATTATAGCTGTTTTGCCAAAACCAAAGTACCCTCATTAAAATGGCACAAAAGAAAGCATCAAGATTTCCCTCAAAATAGTGAAAATGAAGTGTTGTTTAAGAGTTAAGAAAACCAAGTCAAGAAAAAAATTCACTTTTCCTCAGAAAAAAATTTACATTAATTGAACTACCAAAATCCAGACACAACTCATAACTGAAAACATCAAAATGTACGGCAAAATGGAGAAAAGGGTCACTTACTTTTGGTGATGGGTGACCTAACTTGCCGTTAAACCCAACATGAGCCTCGAGGTCGCTGCTCCGACCACCGGCCGACGAGTTGCGTCTGAGGAACCTCTCGCAGATGGCCATGACCAAGAACATGGAGATGAGAATGGCGGTGGCGACAAACCCAAACGACACCGCATTAACCGAGCTGTCGAAATTTCTCCAATGGTCTTCTCGTTCTCTCTGCACGCTTAAGGGAGCTCCCACCGGAACCCAACCAAACACATCTCCCCGACCCATTTCTCAGTTCCGAGCAAAACCCTCAAAGCACTCTCATTTCTATCTCTTCATGGAAAACAGAGGAGAAAGTATGGATTTTTCAGGAATGTTAAACACCAGAGCTTTGAGGAAAAAGAGCTTAAAAGGACTTATGTTTCTAGCTTTGGAAGAAAGGAGGAGAAGGGCATGTGACTATTCGAGCATTGGCTATCTATACAGAAGAGGTGACCTGTGGAGTGGAGGGATGAAAAAGAAAGCTTTGGAATTTGGAGAGGGGTTTTGTTTAATTATTTATTTTTGTGATATCGGATGTGTAAATATTTTTAAGGGTGACGTGGACAAATGGATTCTAGGGTTTGGAAAAACAAAGCAAGAGGTTGACATCTCCCAAGTTTTAGGTTACCAAAGTCAGTCTTAGAGTCAAAAAACAGAGCACAATCAAAATTCTCTACCTTTAACAAGATCCAACTACATTAGGGTTTGGCTTCTTCGTTATACTAATCAAGATTCAATGATAATTTTTATTAAATTTAGTTGTTTTGATATAAATTATGAGTTCTTATATTTTCAGAACGTCTTGACCTTGACAATGTTTTGATAAGAATTTTATGTTCAATTATATACAGGCTTTTTATCCAAATAATTCAATCCAACTTTAGATGGCCAAATTCTACAATTATGGGCTAACATTATATCATTCTATTTCTTTACATGCACTCCTATAATTGGAAAGGAAGGATAAATACGCTACTTACAAAAATGAAAGAAGTGATGGCCTCTCTGCACAAGTGGAACCATTTTCAGGCAGACCCAACACTATTAATTAGGGTCTTTAATTCAAAGTTTTCACCTTTTTCGCAATCTAGGAGACAAGCCAATAACTAGTTAACTACCCATAGATTGACCTCCCTACATCAATTACTTCAAAATTTGGTAAAGGGGTGTTTGTGACAATAGTGGTTGAGAGATGGGGCAAATTGGAAATTTGGAAGGTAGCAATTTAAGTTACACATTTTGTTGGTACATCAAATAATTAATTATTTGACAATACAAATATTCAAATTAAGTTATATATTTATATGTATCTTGCTACATTGTGAAATGATAAAAAAAAAAAAATGTGAATTAAGCAGACATGTGTTTTTGTACCTTCCACAAATTTAGATTATAAAATATTAAGTAATAAGAGATTTCTTCATATGATGTGAAAATCTCTACATTAACTTAATTTGATGGACTATGTGCATCTTGCTACATTGTGAAATGATAAACTATTAAGTAATAAGAGATTTCTTTATATCATGGGAATTCCAAGGACCTTTCTTTCTTTCCTTCTTACATGTTTGTTTTTTTCTTTTCTTTTCTCTTTTTTTTTTTCCCAATCTTTCTTGCATGTTTGAAATCTTGAAAAGGGCAACACAGGGATGGCGGTCCCCGTTTTCTGGACCCACCTTGTCATGATTACGTGTCATCCGACAGGGCAGTACTTGTGGTCCTACGTGGCGTACACATCATTGGGGCAGAGCTGCTTCTTGTTGAATCCTTCTCTCCAGAATGCACAATGAAAGAATGGAAAATGATGGACCTCTCCTCTTCTGCCCATTTCGCAAGCAAAGGGGTTGGTACATCCCCAATATATCATTTTTGCATTTTCTTTTTACTTTATAAAATATAAATTTAATCATTCATTTTATTTTTATGGCAAAGTGTGGTAGGATTGGATTTTAAAAATATTATGTATAGATTACAATAGTAATATATATGTACTATCATATTGTATATTATATGTATATTTTTTTATGCAAATTGGATATTAAAATTAAAATCCAATGATATTAATAATAGCAATAGTACTATTGAAATGGTGAGCCGATACAACAATAGACCCCCACATGAACCATGTTGGACTATGTGCCCATGTGTTCCCCAACTCCTTGAATCTGATGGTCCCCACATAAGAGGCCCCCTCCACGTGTCACCTCCATCCCCATCTGCCATGTGGAATAAAAAAGATCTGTCTGCAAGTACATTTAAAAAAAAAAAAAACTAATTTAAAAAATAGTGAAGCAATTAGCTCATGCCCTCATCTTCAGTTACAAAAAAGCTCGAGCCAACATAATTTTATCTTCATAACAAAATTTTATGATATTCAAGTGTCATGTAGTGATTAGATACCAATATGCACATCATGTCATGCAAAAAATAAAAAAGAAGAAGCTTGTTTTAACAATGAATCAAAATTAAATTATAAAAAAATATATAAGAAATATTCACTCATGCAATGAATAAGAAGATATAAAATAAAAGAAAGAGAGTTAAGATTTCTCTACACAGAAGATTGAGAATTGGAACAAACATTAATAGAAAACCCTCGTTATGAAACTTTTTATAATTGAAACAGTTATAATAGGGTGTTGTAAATATGGGTTAGAGTACCTTTTGTACTTTATATTAATAAAAAAAATTTATTTGGCTGATCAAAAAAAAAAAATAATAATAGGGTGTTGTAAATATTTATTTAGTGTAATTTTAAAGCAAACCATCGTAACAAATGACATTACAAAATATATATATATTTGGCTAAAGGAAGAGGCGTGTTAATGCATGTGTTAAAAGTTAATTCAGTATATGCATTTTGATGCTGAAGTTAAAAATATTTTATTGATTTAAGGTGGGAAATGTAGAAGAAAAGAGAGAAGTTTTTGGCGTTGGAGAGAACGTTAACCTTCTTATTGCATTGGGGGAAACAAAAACCCCCTTGTTTATGATTTAGTTTTGATGTCTTTTTCTGTGTCCAAAACTGATGCGTGGAGCTCAAACCTGCCACGGGGGAGACGATATTAATTTTGCCAAGCCCTCATGGAAGTGCCATGTGCAAATGAAACTAAGAAAGCTACCCAACATTTCCTAAGCACCCTGAGGAGGGATGCCGAGTACACCTGACAGTTTACAGAGTGGGTCCTCGCCGGTACATCTTCATTATTTCAGTGGTCGAGAAATGATAACCCCATTCTAAGAGTATATTAGGATTTAGGACAAAAGTTAGTTAAAAAAGAAGAAGAAGAAGAAGAAGAAATGAAGGTAAGGAAAAACAATAGGGGGGAGAATTATGAATAATTTTATTTGGATAGTTTAAACAAAAGTAAGAGAGGAGAGAGAAATATTATATTTTTTTATTTAATTAAATAAATTAAAGAAAATTTATTATAGAATCAATTAAATTTTGTATTTTTATTTATTAAAATAAAAGTCAAAATAAAAATTTTAATTATATTAAAAACTAAAAAAATCTAATCCCCTCATATTCCCTCAAATTGAAAAGATTAGAAATAAGAGACTTGAAAGGTTTTGCTCTCCTCTTATTTAACTCTTTTTTCTTCAATCTTTTTTATTAAGTTTATTTAAATTATTCTCTCAAATTAGAAAGACTGAAAATAAGAGATTTGAAGGGTTTTGTCCTCCCTCTATTTAACTCCCTTTTCTTCGATCTTCTTTATTAGGTTTATTCAAACAAAGGAAAGCTCTCTCTCCTTCCATCCAAACAGAAGGCAACACTTAGATTTTCTTAACTTGAGTCTAAAAAAAATACCAATGAAAGTAGAAAAATGTTTGTTCACTCGGGCCAACATCCCATTTATACCTTGGTTTGTATGAGTCACTCTAGAGGGTAACGCTTAGCAAGCCACAAGTTCTTTAAGGCAAATTAGCTCAACATGGCAAAGCTAAGTTTTTTATGATATGATGGCCAAGCCAAGTTGACGAAAGCTGATTGAGGTATTATATTGGGCAATCTTTTAAGGTCTATATATAGTCACCAACCCCGAATTGCCATGTGTAGGGGTATGATTTGCTCAATATCACTTAACCGCATAAGTTAATAAAATTTTATAATAGAGTATAGTATTTATTTATTTTACTTTTTAAAATTTAAGAATAAAATTATTTTGAACCTTAATACAAAACTTATATAATTACTGTATAAATTTTTCACCCATAGCACTAGAATTCAAGTCCTCTACCCCTCATTTTCTCTTTCCTTTACCACTAATTCCCTTTGTAAAATATATGTACTTCAATAAATTTTTATTTAAGGATATAATTTGTAATCCCTTTTTAATTTTTTAAAAATAAAATAAATAAATACTAATTGCGTATAAACTATATTGTCTCTTGTGATTTGTGAGACAAAAGTGCAATTTACCCAAAACAACAAGACAAAAGAATTTTCTTAATGAAAAAAGAGAAAAAAAAAATTTTTTGTTGGTTTCCCTTTTTTTTTTCCCAAAGAAAAGTCGACACACGGACTTCCCCTGTCGGACATTTCAGGTTTCTCAACCAGCATGTGGACATCAAATTTCCCGAAATTGTCAGTCGATCCAACGACTCAGATCCTACCCTCACATTCCATCAAGTTTGGACCGTTCGATCTTGATGGCGTAGTTATTTTTTTTGTCAAGAGTCAAATTGGTCAAAGAGTATCTCACGCGTGCAGTTGTGCCTTCGCACGTGCGATTGCGTGTCCAGATGAAGAAATTAGACTGAGGGACAGGGGGGTCCGGTGCCTGCACGGTGTCAGAGTCAGATGCTAGTGGCCGGGTGGGGTCGGCGTAGGTCATTGGCTGCAGCATGGACATGGT